ACATTTAATTTATACTAGATTAAAACAACATTACTTTATTTATAATATCAATGCCCTTCACAAATTATAATTAGAAACAACATCTTTACAAAATTATAGTCCAATTGTAAACCTTATATAAAAATATAATCATAATTCACGTGTTAATCATAACCACAATAAATGTTGCAATTTATTGAATATTATTTATAGCTATTTTTGATTGTTATGATACCTTATGCTGTATGAGTTACAAATGATTAGTGTTTTTCCAGCTATTATTAATCGTATTTATATTTTAGATAAAAAAATTAAATTATGTTTTAAAACATTTGTTTGTTATGGTTAATGAATTTGTTTGTTATATTTGTGTACACTATTAAGGAAAAGTGTTTCAAAAAATATACATGATTATTATAAATTGAAATTGGTATGAAAATTACAGGTCTTATGATATTTTGTTTATTGTTTTGTTAACATTAGAAAAAATAAAATTATTTTCATTGTATAAAATATGTCAAATATTATCATGGGTTTCAATAAAAATATTCATTATTCATTCAATTCTTTGGTAATGAATTGTATTCTAAGGCATAATAAAAACAATATATATTGGGTTTTATCACAAAAATTATTCAAAAGACTATTTGAGAAAGCATTTCATATTTTGAGTACATTTTAATGAAATCAAAAATGAAATTTGTATTAAAAACTCATTTCTTGTGAAATAAAAATAATAATAATAATTATTGCATAAAACAAATTGTGACAAAAATATCTGCTATATTATATTAATAAAAACTCATAATTAATTAATGTGTACTTTATTTCACATAAATATGCCACACCTTACTCTATGAATCCTTACACCCTAATACAATGGGGTATCAATTGTATATTAAGTTCACATCATAACAACTACAATAATCGCCTGGATATTACTCGCATAAAAGTGAAACATATACTCAAAATACAAAAGTTAATTTCAAAATCAATAACATTTTCCAACACTTGTGCGAATATACTGAATATTAAACATAAACCTAAAACTCATTTATAAAAACTCAAACCAAACTGATTGCCACAAAGTCTTTATAGATATCACTTTTAAAACTTTAACTCATTTTTCATACTCTGCACCAAAAACTCGAGAATCTGTGGCCTATACTCCAGAGGAATATTCTTGAGCGACCGACTCAACCAATTGTCAGGCATTTTGCTCATCGGTATTAAACATATCAATTGCTTCGGCTGTTTGTCACCGCCGACATCCATGTCCTCTATCGTCTGATACTTATTAATGAGCGTAGTTTTGATACTGTGTTTGAGCTCCCGTTCCAACCACGTGATGATACCGGGATGTTGTGTCCACTTTGCCGGCCACTCAATGCGATCCCAACGGGACATACAGTTTAGCTTTTGGGTTAGCAGCAGGTTCTTGAGGGCTGGTATGCCTTTGGGTAAGGTATACATGAGCGACGTCTCACCGGACCGGACAATAGCCGCCAGTTTTATGTATTCACTAGAATTGAGTTTAAAATTTAGTTTATTTAACTATTAAAAATCTAAATCTTAACAAATTATTTACTCGTAATAATGCTTTTGATTTTGTCTTATTTGCTGCCATTCGATGGACATCCGGTAGATTTTGGGGGACTGGAGGGCAGCCATTAATGTGGACAATGATTGCCAATTGGACTTCTGGTATAAACTCATTGATAGCTGTTTATGAATTAAATAAAAGATATTAGATATTAATTTACGAAATATTTGAACCTCTGTATTAGTAAAAATGAATCTAATTTTAAACTACTAAATTTGTTAATATTTTACAATACTGTATGTTATTTAACAGCTATTACTTATGATGTCACTATTTAATTTAAGAATTTAAAAATTTGTATAATGATTAACCCACCGAATTAAATAGATAAAGGATTAGTCTAAAAACCATTTAGGTCAAATAATTTAAATATTTTGTAGCTATACAATAAATATATAAAAATTTATTTGTCCCTTTATTTTCAAACCTTTTTTTTATTGTTTTAGTATTACTGTACTGTATATTAAATTAAATTGGAGTACTAGTCCACTCCGTCCCTCACCCAATGGATAAGCTCTGAATTATATGCAAAATATTCACACATAAAATGCATTCTAACAAACATAGCCAAATATTTTCTCACAAAAAAATTTATATTGCTTTCTAAATTCAATAAAAATTAAAGTTTGATAATTTTAATTAATATAATCGGAACGGTATTACTAAATATGGAGGTTTTATATGACAATAATACAATGGGTTGGGATGAGCTACAGTATATTAATAATAGGACAGGTAGTATAATAAAAATATTCATACAAACCTTAATAAAGGCTATGATGTAGGCCTGGCGCTGGTAGGCGGCAATCTTGCCATCAATACACTCAACGATAATATCGGCCAACGCCTGACTAAACTGGACGACAGAGCAGAGGGAGCTCAACCGACAGCCACAACAGGTATTGCTAAACAAATAGTTGGCCAAATCGCGGGCCCGTATCCTAGACATGAGGTATCGGTCTATTTTGCATATATTATCGCTGACTCTATCGATGTCCACGTCGTTGATGCGGAACTCATGCAAATCGACAAACAGTTTGTACATGTCTTCGGCCACCCGGTTCTTCACATCCCTTTCCAGCTGCCGCTCTATCGAGTTGTTGGCGAACATGTCGGCGCCCGTCTGAATGTCCTGAATGTCCGGCAGGTACTGGTGCTGCAGTTGTTGGTCGTCGGCGAACAGGTCGCCCGAGTCGACCACCAGTTTCCGGAGGTTCAGTTCGCTGGTGTGCCGGCGTATGGGTTGGCACAGGAGGTTCTGGTTCAGCATTAGGCTGTACTTCGTGTCCAGATTGGGCTCAAAGTAGGCAAACTTTCGGCTACACCGGCGCCGATCGCGAGCACCGGTAGGCGCCCGCACCCACACACTCAACGCCCGGTCGGCCAACTCGTGTATGCCATCCCACGTGCGGTTCTCGTACTTGTCGTGTATGATAGGGGTAGGTGTGGCCGCCCAACCATTGCGCGATATTTGGCTTAAATTCTGTACAGAATATTCTTTACTTAACTTGAGTTCTGTTTGTGACGGAAGCGACAAAAAGTTGCGGTTTTTGTCTAAATAGTTATTATTGTTGTTATGATTATTACTACAATTGTGTGACTCTTTCCGGCGGACAGGCGTTCCAGAGGCCGGCGTCAGACACTTGAGACTCAGCCCGAAAACGTCGGACAAGTCCACTGGACTTCTGTCGTACAGGGATTGGGAGCTCTGGTAGTGGTGTCGGCGCTGCTCAGGGGAGACAACCGCCGGGTTATGTCTGAAGGAAATGTAGTTATTGTTGTCGATGGAGAAGACCGTCTCGGCGCTGGTGTTACCGGATATATAGCCCGAGTCGTTGCGGGCGATACTGTACTTGTTTTTGGCGTAAAAGTTACCGAAATTTAGTTTGAGATTAAATCTGTGTTTCTTATGGTTGTTATTATCGTCCGGCGATTTGATGTAACGCAAGGTTTTGCCGTTTTTCGGCGACACATAACTGTCCTCTAAGTCAAACACTTGTAGATTAGTTACGGATAATGACTCCATGTTCGGTGTGGGCGCACAGTTATTGTCGAAAAATGTATGTCTGATTATATTTTGAAAAATATTTGTTTCAGACAAAAGGCATTTAATTTTTGTGAAAATTATTTATTACTTTATATTTAATATTAAAAACTTTTTATCACTGGTTATATAAAAAATAAAAATTATATTTAAGTTTTTAGCGAATAAACAAAAAACTATTTCTTTTACTATTACTATTATTATTTGTTTTAAAAATATATTAAAACACTTTTATCTCACAATTCATGCAAAACTTCGTCAAATCTTTTGAAGACATAATGAATGGGAAATAATCTTTTGAGGAAATTCTGTTCATTTAAAACATATATTTCATCGCAAATAATGTTAAATCAATTTATTTAATAATTATTATTAATTATTTGAGAAATAAAAAGAGTTTTTATTTATATTTTCTATACTTTTTTTGTTAACAAGTCTTGAGGAGAGGGAGAGAAACGACTTTTGAATACTTGTATTCAAAAACTATATTCAAATATATTTTTTATTCACTAATTATCCTCTAATTGGAGGTTAATATAAGTAATTAGTGTTTATCAGCGAAATAGTGTTTTGATATGAATTTTTTAAACACATTTAAAATAATTTTTATATTCACTTGAGTTCACACACATTAAAAAATTACAACTTTTTCTTATTTATTTAGTATTCATTTTATTAAAATTTACTTTCGCTTATAGTGAACAACATACGTATAAAATAATATTCAATCACTTTAATACACACGATATTAATTAAATTAATTTATATAAGACTACAAATTATTATAATTAAAACATTACAAAATAATTAAACAATACTTTTCTATTCAATCAGACAACCATTGAATAAACTTATCATTTCGTTATATATTTAAACATAAGTTTTTGGTTTTGAAATCTATGTTCACAAATGTGTTGTAAAACACATATTCAGTGAATTAATGAATAACTGAAAATGTAATTTCACTTTTATATAGGAGTCCACTGATTCTATGAGTACAGTATAGTTACTACAGTATACTAGTATATACTGCCACACAGGTATGCCTTGACTTAGGACTGACACAAGTATTACAGAATATATGTAATAATGACGACAAACTGGTGGCTAACAAATGGGAATAGAGTTTATGGGAAAAGTACTAATATTTCGATTGTGGAAAACACCGGTAAATATATTATATAAATACAGATAACATTATGCATAAAATTAATAATTTGAATAATATATTCAATAAACTAAATATTATTATCAACTAAATTTCACACTTAACAAAACACATTAATGAATATACTATAGTAAACATAAATTAAACTCATGGTATTTACCTTATTAAAAATATTGATGATAGTTTTTTGTATAAAGGTTTTATATATCAAATACTAAAAGTAGATTATATAAGGATTATATAATACTTTAGAAGGCGTTCACAAACTCCACAAAAAGAATGTTTATATTAAAATTTATTAGTATAAAAATATTTGTATACTAATCACCGGTGTAAAAGTCATAGGATATCGATAAAGGTATAAACAATAAAGTATAACTTTCGCCAAAAAACTATTGCATGCATTCAGTGTTGCGTTAAGTTTTTGGCATAAAATCTATGAAATATATGAAAAGACATTTCTAAAGTCATTATTGGAATTATTATTACTGTAGTTATTGTGTTTTATAATAAAAACACACAAAATAATATATTTACATTCAGATCAATAGCTTGATCAGAGAGAGAGAGAGAGAGAGAGAGAGAGAGCAGAAATTATTGTGTAATCCTTGTATTCTGTATGATATGCATATACTGTACATTGTATGCACATGTGTGTAAGCCAGATCACATTTGTCATTAAATTAATTGTATTTTCAAAGCCTTGGCATTGGTAATGAAAAATTATATTCACTATATTAATATAATAGCATATTCTCTATGAACCAAAAACCTACCTGTACATGTTAACCTGTGATATTACACCTAATTTAATGATTAGTACAGTGCGTATATAATACACACATTAATTGATTAGGCATTATTTTTATTATTGATTTTTTAAAATTATTTTATTTGGTTTTCTAAGCCTTATTGAATATAATATCAAATTTTTCTATGAATACTATTATATGACTCAATGTCTGATAATTTTTTAATTGTAATTGATTTATAACTATTATGCTATAATATTTGATGTATTATGTTTAAAATACCTTTGCTTTAGTCACACGACTTACGGTATTATTTAGTAAATCGTGTATTTATTTCATATACCTATTGACAAACCTCTCTCTCTCTC